AGGAAAACCTTTGATTCACTAAACTGCAAGTCACTTCTCGGTAGTTTCAAACAGCACTTACTTTTTTGTGTCAGTATTGTTTATTTGGAATTTTCCTCTATAGTTCGTTTAAATATCAGTAAAGATCTGAATGGCACTGTGTTTTTACTTCATCATTTGTACATAGGATGTTCACTCATTGTTAAGAAAGCATTTTGTTTAGGAGAGAGTGTCTGTGTACTGTGGTGTACAATGGTAGATGTAATTATCACTGAAGGTCACCGAAATGTGAAAATCCCTGGTAATGTCTTGACAGCTGCGTGGAAATAAAGACAACTCAAATGGGAACAGTCAGGGCCTACTTAGAAAGTGCCTGCTAAAGCAAGAGAGTCAGCCACTTTTGACAAAGTGGGAAAGCTTTGTAGTGAACAAAAGGGAAGGCGTCAGATGTGCTGTTGACTGCAGGCTATTGACATGGGACACTGGAAGTGTCTAATAAGCATTGAGGCATCTCATATGACTGGTTATGGGGGTACATTTGGCTTTCTCTGCTTGGTTCTGAGTTCGAAGCTAGGGCACAAATTAGAGAAGCTGCATCACTGCCATGTCCTGACTGGTGTGGGTTGGTTGCTACAACAGTTTCTGGTTTGCCTTTCTGAGCTGGTTGCTGCAGAGGGTGTGGGTCAGACCCTGCTCAGATTCCCACTGACAAATGCAGGCTTGGGAGTGAATGGAGAGGAAGCCATTTAATCGTGGGGCCAATGAGTCTCTGCCTTAATCATGGGATTTGACATTCAGTGTTCTATACACTGATTGACTGATTTCTTTCTTTACTGAAGACAGATTTATATAATATAAAACTAACCATTGTAAAGAGAACGACTCAGTGGCAGTTGGTAGATTCACAATGTTGCTCAATTATCACTTCCATCTAGTTCCAAACAATTCCATGTCAAAATACGGCTCTGTACCTACCTGTTAAGCAGCTCCTTCTTATTTCTCCCTCCTCCTAGCCCCGGACAACTACCAGTGTTCTTTTCATCCGTATGTATTTACTTACTCTGAATGTTTTAAATGGAATCATACAATATGTGACCTTTTGTGTCTGTCTCTTTTCCCTAAGCATAATGTCTTCAAGGTTCATCCACATTGTAACAGATGTTATGATTACTTTCTTGTAATTTTCTTTTTCTTTCTATTTTCTTTTTTCTTTCTTTCTTTCTTTCTTTCTTTCTTTCTTTCTTTCTTTCTTTCTTTCTTTCTTTCTTTCTTTCTTTTTTTTTTGACACAGGATCTCACTGTGTTACTCAAGCTGGAGTGC